GAGATGAGCGTCTCAGTGTCCCGGTAACGGCTGCAAGCACCTCTGAGGGAAAGCCGCCCTCAAGATCGCCCGCTGCCAGACAGTCCAGTTTCTCCCCGCATGAATCCTGGGTCCCCAGAGACTTCCCGGAACCGGAGTTCAGCGCCGTCGGGAGCTTGTGACTCCCTCTGGATTCAAAAAGACAGCCGTGTCTTCAGGTGCCAGCCCCTTTCCGCACGCGCGAGTCCCCTACCTCTGCGCTTTACTTCTGCAGCTTCTCTTGCTCTCAGTGTGCTTTTCTTTCCTTCTAGTTGTAGAATTTACAGTCAGCCAGGCTTCCTGTGGTTCTGGATGATGTCCGAATTGTTTTTCTAAGGTATTAATCAATTGTTGTGAGTGGCATCAACTTCGCGGTGTTTATCTCTGCCGCCATCTTAGTTTCTCCTAATAATTTCAATAAAACATTTAAAAAATGAAATGGGACTAGTCATAATTACTGCAAGTATAAAATACACACTGGGTTTCAAGGCTTAGTATAAAAATGTAAAATATCTCATTAATATTTTAGATATTAATTACGTTGAATTATATTTTTGATATGATAGGTTAAAGTATATTATTAAAATTAATTTTACTTGTGCTTACTTTAAAAAGTTTATCTCTGCCGCCATCTTAGTTTCTCCTAATAATTTCAATAAAACATTTAAAAAATGAAATGGGACTAGTCATAATTACTGCAAGTATAAAATACACACTGGGTTTCAAGGCTTAGTATAAAAATGTAAAATATCTCATTAATATTTTAGATATTAATTACATTGAATTATATTTTTGATATGATAGGTTAAAGTATATTATTAAAATTAATTTTACTTGTGCTTTTACTTTAAAAAATTAAAATTATACATGTGGCTTGCATTCTATTTCTATTGGACAGATCTGGACTGGAGGTAAGCAGGAGGCTGTGTGTGCTCAGCTTAGGAGTCCGTGCTCCCTTTTAAGGACAGTGGCCCAGGATGCAGTGGAGGGACATGATGTGCTTTGCTCTGAAAATCACTGGCTAAGGGGTGGAGAATGAACCAGAAGGAGAACAGATCAGAAGTCAGGAGCTGTTGCAGAACTGTAGGCAGGAGATTGGAAAGATGAGACCAAATTTGAGGACTTGTATGAACTAGGTCTGACAACTAGTTGGATGTGGTCTGTGAGGGAGAGGGAGGAATTTGGGTAGACTTGTGGGTGTCCAGCCTAGACAAATGAGTGGATCAGGGTGCAAGCCTATACTCAATGAAGGGATAAAGTGAAGTGTCCCCAACTAGAGTGTAACCTGGGTGAAGGACTCAGACCAGGGGTTCAGTAAATATTTGTTGAAGAATTTTTTAAAAAAAATCAGACTAAAATGTGTGGTTCAGGAAATGTGTCAGGGATTGTGTCTAGAAGGGGAGAGGTAAATGATTAGCTAACTGCTACATTAGTGGGAGATAGAAATTGAAAATCAAGAGGATGAGCCCCCCGAGGGGCTACCAAGATTCTATGAACAGTTGCAAGGGATCCCATTGCTCATTCTCAGCAAAATGCATCCCTGGGGTCTTGGCTGGCATGGAAACATTTTCTTCAGTTTCCTTAGCCCCGTTGCTAATTTTCATGAGGAGAAGGAAAAGGTGGGGTGATGATGCTGAAGAAAGAGGAGGGAGAATGGTGTGGTGTGAGAGGTGGATGTGGGAATGTGTTTATAATAAGGCATATACTGAGAACACCTGCTTGCCGGTACTGGACCCATAAATGGACCCACCAGCATTACCCAAATGTAGACAAACATTCACATCCATTTACTTGAATAATTTGAAACCGAACCACTAGGGAATATAGATTTGACCTCATTTTCTTATGCTTGGGAAAAGAAATGTAATTTAGTAAAAAACTAAACAACCAAACACCTTAAAAGGAGATTAGGAGATTGGGATTGTCACTATCTTTGTGAGTACAGGCAAGTCACAGAATGTCCCTGTATCTTTTTTCTCATCTATCAAAATAGCAGTAATAACACTAGTCTTGTTTATTTCACAGTTAGTAGTATCAAATGAGGAACTGGCTGTGAAAGGCTTTAGAAAGTTAGAAGTGTGTACTGAGGTTAGAAGATATATATAAAATGAACCCATAGAAAAGTGTTTTGTCTTGAGTAAATCTGAATTGCAGAGAAATCAGCAGGCATGGGCCTCATGAGACAAAGATGGGTCTCTCCTGCTCCTCTGTGACAGAACCAGCCATCCCAAAGGGTAGCCTGGTCCCTCATCATTCTTTGCCTCCAAGAACTCATTGAATGAAGATTGGTTATGATAAGTAGGGAGATGGCTGGGCCAGTGGGGGTCAGTACGGTAGACTCCAGTATCCCAGTAATCTTACAGGTATGTCGTGAAAGAGTCAGGGGATTTGTTCAGAAAATCCACAGTGCTCCCCTTCATATTCAGATTGGTTATTTCTATTCTGTTACATTCATTTGTGAGACAAACATGATAACCACTACACTATGGAAACATGACTCATTAATTCATTTGTTCATTCATTAATTCATTCAGCCTGTATCCAAGCTTCCACCCCCCCCCCGCCCCATCCTTCAGAGCTTACCCAAATTCTACCTATTTCAGGAAGCCTTCTTTGCCCATCTTAGCACAGCACATTGATCAATCCCTCTAATTTCTTGAAACACATTTTGCTTTGTCATGTGCTTGTGCTATCATGTGTCTTGATTCCTTTCTGGACATAGATTCCATGTCCTAAACATCGTTGTATCCCTACAGTGCTAGCACAGCACCATGTAAACAAGCAGGTGCTCAGGAAATAAGAACTGAATGAACGAACATGTTGGGTAGATGGATGAGGGGGTAGCCCGGATTCAGCAGTATTTTCCATATTTTCTGAGCTGGACAGAGAAGGGAGTGTAGTAAGTCCAGTCCTAGTTCTGGCCATGGAGATAGTTGGGGTGGAAGAGGCAACTGGAAGGCAAAGACAGTTACTGGGGCAGCCATTGGTGACCCTGCTGCCTGAAGATGGCACTAGAGGCCAGTTGGGAGTAGCTACTCATCACCTGCAGTGAGCACCTACTGTGTACAAGACACAGTTCAGGGGAACAGAGAAAGCTGTATTATAAGTTCACTGAATGGCCAAAAAAATATATGTGAACGTTTAAACAGTGATTTAAAAAAAGTTAAGATGACAGTAAATGCAAAATGGCAAGCTAGTGGTCCAGATAGTACATACTGAGGGCTTAATGAGCCTTCAGCTTGATTTTCTAGGGCTGTTTCCCACGGGCTGCCCTGCAGCTTCACCAGGACTCTAGCACTTATTTCTCTACAGAGCCAGATTTTGGTATCACAGAATGTGCTCACTGTTGTTATAAAGCTTTTGAGGAGAGATGTAGCAAAGTGAGCTGAAGTGAGGGTGAGGTGGATGGGGCCTTTTGGGAAAGTTTCATATCTGAAAATTTGGCATACAGAGGGACGGAGAAGGCATGAACAAGGGAATAGGAGTTGGAATAGATTAGGTATATTTAGAAGACCGTTCATTCATTAATTTATCAAATATTTATTAAACCCTTGCAGAGTTTTTGTGCTGGTCACACATGGTAAATGAAATAGGCAGTCTGTCTTCAAGATGCTAGTGGGCACTCGATTTATTTGCATGTTTTCTAACATACATGAAACACAAATAACACATACATATAACACAAAGTGGGGAAAGTGCTATAAAGGAAAAGAATAGAAGTCTGTAAAAGAGAATTAGATGGGCACCCCATAATGAAGGTTTCAAGTTGGGTAAGAAGAATGGTACATTTGAGGGACCAGAAGACGGGTGGTGAGTGGACACATCTGGCTGGGAATGGCGTATGCAGGCTGAAGCCAGGCTGTGGAAGGCCAGGTTGTCTCTGCTGAGTTTCTGTGTTCCAACCTGAGGGCTTCCTGGAGAGAGAGGGAAATAGGGAGAAAGAGTGATGGTCTCCAAACACCTTGTGACTCCTGTCCCTGTTTGCAGCCAGGTGATGGGGCAGTGGCGATGGATGAGCTACAGGAGGACAAGAAGCTGAAGGTGGGTGCCATGTAGAGTCTGCGCAGTGAGGACACTGCAGGGTCTCACAGGACAGCCACAGACTCAGGGCACTGTGTCCCTGGTGCCGAGGATCTAGGGCTGGGCTCAGGCCTGGGAAGCTCCTGGGAGTGCTGCCAGGCGGAGCCTGGGAAGGAGCGAGGGACTCTTGGCCCCACGTGGCCTGGGAGGAGGTGCTGGTTTGGGAGCTGGAATGTCACTGCTTGCTTTGCCACTAGCTCGCTGTGTAAGCTTGGGCCTCCGATTCTGTATCTGTAAATGACTGGACTAGATGAACTCAAGTCTAACTTTACAGCCCCCAGCATGCCATGATTGATCAAAAGCCTAATTACCTGTGGCTTTGAAATGCCCAGAACTAAGAGAACCATCAGAGGGCACTGGGGCAGAGGAGTCTGAGGTTTGTGAAAAAATGTCTTAGCTGCCTTTGGCCTATGGGGTATTTGGGAAGAAGTATGGGGACCTTAGAGAGAGGCTGGGCCTACTAGATAAAAGGAAACCTCCCCATCCAAAGAAAATCCCTGGACCAGTTGTAAAGTACTGTGTTACCACAGCCACGAGATGGCAGAAGAGTTCAGAGCCAGAGGTATGGGGAAGGTGAAAGTGGGGGGTAGGTTATGGAAGTGTGGGGTATGGGGTGGGGTGGGTCAGAGGGACTGAGCAAGTGTTTGTCTGTCTTCGGATGCTCCCTTGTAAATCTGTGTGTGTCACATCTGTGTCTGCAGCTATAGATGTGAGGGTGTGTGTGCCTGTGAAGGTTCTTGAGCACACGGGTAGAAAAAAAATCTGAATTGGGAATTAGAAGGCCTGGGTGCTAGTCTTGACTCTTTAATTTACACCCCACATGAACATGTTGAGTTTTCATTTCCTTTTCTGCAGAAGGGATCCCAGTTTCCTTGTCTGTGGGAGTGGGGCAGCGATAACGCACCATGATGCGGTTCGTGGACAGCGAAGGGCTGTGCCATGTGCAGGGTCTGCTGTGTGGTGTGTGGGTGAGCGTGTGCTGCTATGGGGTGTACTTGGGGAGATGGAAAAACGCTTGGCCATGTGGTGTCCTCAGTGCCCATTGTCTGCTGCTCCCTTTTGAGACCTTAGGGAGTTACTCAGTATGTAGAATTAGTCACGGAAGAGTTGGGGGGAGGCTGAGAAGAAAGCAGTGTAACTCCTGGTTAACGTGAAGGACAAGGTGAGGCCAGGGAAACGCTCCTGTGCTTTCCCACTGATCTCTCTGGGAGGGAGGCCGGGTTCAGTGAGGCCCTTGGGTGGCTTCCCACCTGGCTTGGGCAGGGGCCCACTGAGGCCTGTGCTGCTCTCTCCTGCTCAGCTCCCGTCCGTGCTGACCCGAGGGAGCAGCTCAGCCTCTCTGCACAACAGCACCATCCGCAGCACCATGTACCGGCTCATGCTCCACAGCCTGGACCCTCTGGGGGAAGGTAAGCAAGGCCTCCCCAGACCTGCGTGGTCTCCCTGTCCACTCCTTCCCTCCTGCAGCTGGACAACAACTGGGACCTGCAAAAGGGAGGCAGTGGGTGGGTTGAGGGCAGGAGTGGGAAGAGAGAGTTAGCAGGGGAGAGTGGGTGGCAGTCAGCCTGGGAGACAGGGTAGAGGCGAAGACACGGAACTCACTGGGAGAGGAGAGGGCCCCAGGGAGCCAAGGCCTTTACGCATCCACATTCCTGTTTCCCTGCCTCCCTGTCCTCTCCTGTAACATGAGGAGGGTCAGCTGCAGATAGTGAGGCCATGATGCTGTGTGCCCCGCATGGGTTATGTGGGGGCTGCCCTCAGTATCTTCTCTGTGCAGCCCGCCACAGTCTCCTCCAGGCAGCTTGGCTCAGGCTGACTGGCCAGGGTCGCTTCCGGGGAAAGCTCCCGTAGGTGCTAGAAACTGGTGTCCTGAGAAGACTGCCAATCCTCCCCTCAGCCAGGAATCCCAACGGACATCCTGGGAGCTGCCAGGACCACTTCTTGGGGGTGGTGAGGGTCCAAAGTGCAGTGGGAGCTGATGTCCAACTTCACAGATGATTTGGCAGCTGAGATTCTCACCATCCTTCTTACCAGTTCCTGCCTTCTGGCTCCCTCTCCAAAGAGCTGCCCCTAACATGATTCTCAGGCCCCCATAGGCACCCCTCCAGGCAGGAGGCCCATCAAGGGAAGGTTGGCTTTTGGGCAGAAGCCACGGGGTCGTGGTTGCAGTTGGGCAGAGGGCTGAGGACTGAACTGTATATGACACTAGAGACTGACCCTTGAGCCCCAGGGAGCACCCTGACTGAGATTCCTGGTTTAGGGACACATTTTTAGGGCTCAGAATTCCCTCAGGCCCTTAAATATCTTCTTCAGACACAATATTGGGACTTTGTGGGTATTTGAAACAACTATGTTGTACTGTGAAAGCAGACTCAAAGACAAGGTGATCAACCCTTCCTTAGCAAATCCTCGAGGTGAGCCCTGGCGGACACTGAGTACGACCTCCTGCAGCGCCAGCTCCAGAAGCAGTCCGGCTGGGGTTCTGAGAGCGAGTCTGCAGCCCCTGGCCGCCTGTGTGCTATCCGTGCGGCTGTGTCATGAAGGAAGCTGTGTCTCTGGGCCATGCTGGGCCACTCCTCTGGGAGTTACTGACTCTGGCAAAGTCTTAAAGATGAAGACTTCTCCTCAATGGGACCACAGGGCCCCCTGCCTGGGCCGCTTCCACCACTCACAGCCGCCAGCTGGCCGGCTTGTCCTGACAGGATTATGTGATGTCCAAGCCAGGCCGAGGTCAGAGGAGACTGATACTCAGGAGATGATCCTCCGTGCTGAGCTGAGAGGCATGTGAGGAAACCAGCTCTGGGGGAGCCAGCAACCATCAACCCAGGCAAGACAGTCCTGCGTGGTCCACGTGTGCCTGTGTGGATGGAGTGGCCCTCGCTGTGAATGATTGCTGGCATGCTCTGGGGTACAGTCCTGCCCAGGGAAGCCAACCCTGATTCTACACCGTGAGATTCCATCCCGGAGGGGCTGTGACTGCACAGGACTGTGATGAAGGCCTTGGTTCCCAAGACTTTCCAGATACATGTTTGTGTTTCCATGTGCTGTTTCCAATGGCTGTCCGGATGTTTCCACCCTTGTCAGGTGTTCCAGCTCTTCCACAGAACTGGTCTGAACTCTCACCCTGTGTAGAGGATCCAATGATCCCCATGCCTCTTCTGTGTGTGTGTGTGAGTGAGGGGGGCGGGGCGGAAAGAGCGGGGTCTCATAGTTGGCCTGCTTTTCTTGAGGGCATGAGAAGCGAGAGGGTAGGGTGTGTGAGGAGGGATGAAAAGGAAAGAGGGGAACTTGGTTTTATTGCCAGTCCCTCCAGCTAACAGTTGGCAGATATTCTCAGTGCCAGGACTGGAACCAGGGGAGCCCCTCTTTGACAACAGCTACGTGTCGCTCAACAGAAGATGCCAGTGCTTGATTCCTGCCAACGGGGCGCTGGACTTGTTTGGATGAAGGAGGCGGTGGAGTGCCCACTTCCTGACATCTCAGTCCTGACAAGGACCTCCTGGGCAGGCCCACCAGGAAACTTCAAGGGACCACCATGCCAGAGCAGTGGAGCCCGTTGCCAGAGGGGCTGCAGCTGGAACCTACTGTGAGAATGTAGGAGACAGGCTGAGAGGAGGAAATTCCAGACCTGTTAATGTTTCCTGCCCATCAAGGCTGAGCTTGATCCACCCAGTTTTCCAGATTGCACCTGCTCAGCCCGTCTGGATCATGGACTAGAGGACCGTCAGGGTCTAACCCAAACCCTCTGGAACACGGTGCCCCGTTGCTGCAGACTCAGTGGGACAGCTGCTCTCAACTCCTGTGTCAGCTCATCATTATCGTCACAGCTAAACCTGATGCAGTGCTTTCCAGGTGCTAGGCACTGTTTTAAGCAAGTCGATGTATCAATTAATTTATTCCTTCAGCAAGTCTGTCAGATTTTATAGATGAAGAATCTGAAGGACAGAGAGGTTAAGGAATCACTCAGCTTGGTCCATGGCTAGCAAGTGGAAGAACTGGGATTCAAATCAAGGTTGTCTAGTTCCAGAATCTGAGCTAAGATAATATTTAATTGCAGCAACTACAGTATTTTTATTTAGTTTGTCTCGCAGATCCCCACATTGTGTGTATCATGGTGTTGCCTTTTTAGAGAAGGGACACTGAGGCTTAGAGAGGATACACAGGCTTTCCAAGGTCACCCAGAGCTCACAGGGCGGAGCCAGCGTGGGATGCAGAATAGACTCCAGGGCACCACTTTGTTCTATCATGTGTATCATTATCCTCACCTTCCCACACTGCACGGCTGTGAGGGGGACCTTCATGGCCCCTGCACCTCAGCCTCTGTGCCTCCCACCTGAAATGATACATGGAAAGCACTTTGCAGGTTTCCTGGGTCACAGTCACACTGAGAGAGTTGCCCTCCCCATTTTTCTTGCCTGGAGACCAGGGCAGCACCATTCTGAGCACAGTGCTCTGTGGGCCTCCAGGAAAGCATGTGCACGGGGATCTGGAAGGGGCCCTGTGTGGGTTCCAGGTGTCTGGGGTCAAAAGGGTGTGGCAAGGAGCTTGGGGAGCAGCTACTTTCCCCTTGCCACTGAGAGGGAAGGCTCAGGAATATGGCCACCAGCAGTGCCCCTGCAGTTACAGCAAAGCTTATAGTAGATTTATAGAAAGTAAGCTGTAAAGGCCCTTACACATAATCTAGTCCAAGGATGTGATTATTTCTCCATCCCTGCCCATTGCAGACGCCTCCGGTCAATCCTGGCACTCTCCACCAGACCTGGATGAGGATTCTCCTCAGTTCAGCGCTCAGGCAGCCATCACTTGGGCTCACAAAGGAATGAAACCCTATCTGTTGCCCCCAACACTAACCATGTTATTTTACCAGAAAGAAAACAAGGGGAGTGACTTGCTCAAGGACACAGCCAGTTAGTGACAGTGCAGGGAATGTAAGACAGAAGTTGGGAACTGGGCACCATGACAGGCCTAGTAGGACTCGAGTCCAGACATCATAACTCCCAGGCCAGCCTCTTCCCGTGCACTTGAGCTGCTCTGGTTGTAGTCCACCAGCACAACTGAAGGGTGTGGCGGGGATACTTTGGTCCCAGATATGCTTCCTTTTTCATTTGCAGCACGTTCCTCCAAGAACAGGGATGAGGAGAGCTTGAATCAGGAGGCCAAAGCAGAGAGCAACCCAGAAGGTGAGAGGATGGTGAGACCAGCAGGCTTTCTCCTGTGCCTTCCTCCCTCCTATCTGCCAGGGCTGAGGCAGGGCTCCTGGCCTCTCTGAGCCAGTCAGCTGGAGTGGTGATCTGGTGCTGCCTGCACTTTGCTGTAGTCCAGGGTCCCTCTTCCCCAGGCAGTCCTGTCCTGTTCCCTCCATACTCTCCTTAGGTGGGGTAGGCAAGGCCAGGCAAGGCCAGGCTGAAGGTTGTTGACTCCCACTTCTGTTTTTGCTGAATCTTGTCCCATATTAGACTATATTGGACTCTAATTCTTCTTCCTGCCGCTTCTACAAAAGGATGGTTCTGCTAGGGATTGGCCCGAGACCAGCAGCCCCAGTGAGGAAAGGCCACCAGGGGTCTGGTGACATAGAAATCCAGCATCTGTGTGGCTGCTGGGACAGGGAGTGTGAGACAGCTACTGCCCTGTGGGCTCTATACTGCACACCAGGACTCCTGTTGTACTCAGTGACCCCTGGAGGGAGCTAGAGCAGCAGTGGTTGTTCCCATTCTATAGACACCATTCTATAGACAACGGAGGCTCAAGAGGTCAAGTGACTTTCCCAAAGCCACACAGCCAAGAAGCGAAAGAGCCTGTACCTAAACCCAGCTCTCCAGACTTGCCAAGGCTTCCTAGCTGCTGTCTTTGAAATCATTAGGATCCTCTCCATGCAGCTGGTAGGGGGAAAGGTCACACCCTTAGGGCTGGGGCTTTACCCTCTCTCTGTTCCAGTTGCCTATGCTGGCCAGGATGGAAATGTCTGCGAATACAGAAGGAGCAAGGATTGCCGTTTCCCAGCCGTCCTCTCATCTGTACATATCTCTGTGGAAAGGACAGTAACAGTTCACATCACATCATTTTACTTTTTCTATCAACAAGAAATTCCCCTTCTGAGATCCAGAAGTGGACAAGTCCAAGAGCCCTATAGCCACTCACATCAGTCTCTATTAGCTGCCCTCAACACCTGGTACTCTCCTGACCTATCCCATGTTTATCCTTTAAAGAGGAGGAGCCAACCAAGCTCCCTGCGGTCAAGGTCACACCAGCCCCTGCTCCAGACGTCAAGGGAGATCAGGAGGAGGATCCTGGCGGTCAGGTAGGCACAAGCCTCTTCCCAGGTAGAGGAGTGTGAGAGACCCAGGGAAGGACTTGACCAAAAAGTCTTCCTTCCTGAAGGTCTGAGGTTCATTCCTCTGGGGTAAGCACTGGAAGATGAGATACTTCATGGGGCCAGTTAATTCACCATTACACCTGAGTGTGAGTCAGAGAACATATATAAGAATGTTCAATAAAAAATATATATATATAAAAAAAGAATGTGTTGCCAACTGTCACCTGCTGTAAAAACATAAGAAAAAACTGTTAGGGGTCTCCCAACAACTTAGGAACGGTGAGGCCAGTCAGCTCAAAATGCCAGGGGAGGGTGCTGGGTAAAGGCCTGGGAACCTTCCAAGGCATCTTGGCCTTGTCCACTGGACTTCCTGCGTTCTGATACTGCTCTCTTTACAGCCTCAGCCTCTCCCACCTGCTACAGCCAAACTGGACTTCTTGTTTCCATGCTTTTCTACCTATGCCCAGACAGTTTCCTCCCCCTACAATGCCTTTTCCTCCTTCTTCAGATACCCTAACCTGCCTCCAGGCAACTGCAAATGCCTCCTTTGCCATAAGGCTTCCCCACCACCCAATCTGAATGCCTATGGTACATTGTTCCTCTCCCAGGGCTTTTATCAATACTGCCTTCCTTGTACTCTGTCTCTTAGCTCCCCTGCTAGGTGGTGAGGTTCCTGAAGGCAGGATCCAATTCTGAGTCATCTCTGTTTCCCCCACAGAGAGAAACTCAGGGCACAATAAGGGTCGAGTGACTGGCAATAAATTAACAATCAGTTTGCAGGTTCCATTGCTTTTTTTTTTTTTTTAAACTTGACACTAAGAAGCACTCAATTATATCATATCCTTAAGCCAGCAATTTGGGTTCAGTGTCTAAGACATTTTCATGGTATCATGAGTGTCCCAAGTAGGCCCCGGACAGCCAGCTCAATTAAAAGGGATTAAGAGGAACCCCAGCGCAGGAAGTGAAGGTTCGTGTCACTAGGAGCTGGTCCTAGGCCTGAGAAGGTATCTGTGACCCTGGAGGCTTCTCACTCCATGTCCGGCTCTCCCTCACATCCCCTCCTCTGTGTGCACGCTTTCCTAGTAGCCTGGCTCCATTTGCTTCCTTATTAGCTCACACAGCCCCAAAATACTACCCTAGTTCTCCAGTCCACAGGCGGGGGGGATCAACCAGTGATTGGCTCCTTGTCACAGAAGAGAGAAAATTCGTTCAAACCAGATCATGGGGCAGGCATCCAGCCTGTGTCCAATCAGCTGTGGCAGGGAAACGGGGGGTGCTTTGACTTCAACAAGGAAGAAGGGATATTAGGGATGGCAGTTTTTAGAGAAGAGGGTACAGGCTGGGCAGACACTCCCATACCTATGGACTTAAAGGACTTGTCATCTTCTCCGGGAAACCTCTCCTGATGGGGCTGTGAGGGAGGCAGGAATGACTTCAGACTAAAATCTCACTCTTCATTCCAAATTCAAAGTAAAGCCTTACAGAGACTAATATTTGACTTCATCAGGGGTTCTTAACCCTGGCTGCATAATAGAATAATTTGGGGAAGCTTAAAAAAATGCCCAGGCCCCTCAAATGCCCAGGCCCCATCCTCAGTCAATTAAGCCAGAATATCTGGGTTGGGCATGAATGTTTTTAAAGTCTCCAGGTGACTTTAATATGCAGCGGAGTTTGAGACTCACTGAGCATCCCTTGGGGATGGGCTATGTCATGAAATCTGTTACAGAAAACATACTCCATGAGCACACAGTCAGGCCATTTGTTCGTTTGGATCAGCACATTGTTATAGTTAGTTGAGAGCCTAATCTGAGGATCCTCAGAATCGATGGCTTTAGACCACATGGAATCAGTCCATGGTTCCCAAACACTGGTCTGCAGATGGACTTGTTGGGAGCACTTGTGAGCATGTTAAAATAGATTCCTGGCTTCCAGTCCCAAATATTCTAATTCAGTTGGTCCAGGTGGGGCAAGGAAATGTCTATTTGTTTCTTTCTTTTTTTAAAGATTTTAAAATTCATTTTTAAAGAGAGAAGAAGGGAAAGGAAGAGAGAAACATCAATTTGAAAGCAAAACATTGATCCTCCCCGGGATCGAGCCTGCAACCCAGGCATGTGCCCTGACTGGGAATCTTAACGGGAACCTTTCGGTGCATGGGATAACGCAACCAACTGAGCCACGCTGGCCAGGGCAGAAATGTGTATTTGTAATAAGCTTCCTACACTGTAAGGTTTGGGAACCAAAGATCTCATTTGGCCCTGGCATTTGCAAAACAGGGTAGGTTGGTGGTTAAAAGGCCAAGAGTTGGACTATCCATATTCAAATCCCAACTTTATCACAAACTGTGTGGACCATGGGCAAGTTATTTAACTACTCTGTACCCTAGTTTTTCCATCTATCAAATGGGCTTAATTTTATCTATATCATTAATTAATTGCTCATGAAACATAGTAATTGCTAGGTATTATTATTAGTATATCACTTAGCATTGTGCTTGGCACATAAAAGCCATCAATAAATAGGTATTATCATCAATTTATACATATGATGTATTATAGCAGTTTAGGAGTTTAGTGGACACAGCAATATTATACAATCACCAAAAGATATCATGCAGTATTAATGGAAACATGTCTAAGACAAGGAAGCTGATAATCCTATTAAACTCTGTGCAGTGTTCTGTATTCAGGTTTAGAAGCCTCCTCGTGGGATATAAGCTAATTAGAATGAGTTCACCAAGCTGGGGATGAGGCTCCAGGCCATTCTATGGGGGGATGACAGAAGGACCTGGCTATCTCTAATGCAGGGAAGAGAGCTGTCTTGTGGAAGAGTGATTAGCTTTGTTCTATGCATCTCCAAAGAGTAAACCTAGACACAGAGGGTAGCTCCTTGGTATACGTATGAACTTCAAACCAAGCAGTTACTGAAGATGACAGAAGTTCTTCCGGTGAGTTTTCCATCCCTGGAAATGCTCAAATAAAGACTAAACAACCATTGGGTAGGAATGTTGTGAAGGGAAATTTTGCTGAGTAATTGTACTAGTTTTCTCCTCGTACATGAGTTTTTAGTTATATTCTGAGAGAACAACAATAAAAATAACAGGAAGAAACTGGGAAAGAAAACAAGCAGAGAAGTTACGTTAATCGGTTGGCTTTGGATTGCAGGAAGGAGATGTGGCTGCAGCTGAGAGCACAGGTGCAATGACAGGCAAAGAGGCTGAAGCTCCTGGTGAAGGTGAAAATGGAGGTGAAACTCAGCTAGAAGGTGAAGGTGAAACTGAAGCAGAAGGGAAAGGAGACAATGAAGGTGAAGGTGAAATCCAAACAGAAGGAGATGCTGGTGAAGTGAAAGGTGACGCCGAAGAGCAGGGATTCAATGCTGGAAATCAAGGTGAAACCAGAAGTGATGAGAAAGGTACAGATGGTGAAGGGGAAGGTGATGGAGGTGAAGGTGAACATGAAGAGAACAAGAGTGAAGTCCAAGCAGAAATAAAAGAAAATGATGAAGGTGAAGGTGAACTCCCAGCAGAAGGAGAAGATGGCAAAATGAAAGGTGATGGTGAAACCAAAGAGCAGGACTTCATTGCTGAAAATCAAGGTGAAGCCAAAAGTGTTGAGAAAGGTACAAATGGTGAAGGAGGAGGCGATGGGGGTGACAGTGAAGATGAAGATGAAGAGGAAGATGAGGATGAGGATGAGGAAGAAGAGGAGGAAGAGGAAGAAAATGAGGAGCCTTTGTCGCTGGAGTGGCCTGAGACCTGGCAGAAGCAGGCTGTTTACCTCTTCCTCCTGCCCATTGTGTTCCCCCTGTGGCTGACAGTGCCCGACGTCCGGAGGCTGGTGAGTTTGCCCAGCCATACCCTAGCCTAGACTGTCTATCTCCAGAGAGGCTTTCCACCCAAGAGAAGGGAGAGGACAGGGTCAACCATCTTGGCAGGGCTCAACCACAGAGAGGATTTGGGTTGGAATTCACTGTTCTGGAGGGGACCATGCACCTAGGGGGACATGGGCCTGTGAGGCCCTAGAATGTGCTTGCTTCCACCTCTGTAAGCAATGTGAACTAGTCCCGCCTTGACTGTTTCAGTATTCTTATTTTAATACAGGAATGATGCCACCACACCCCACCATATTTCACAGGGTTACTGTGAAAACTCAAGGCGATAAGTGCCATTTCTTCCCAGCATCCTATTAACAGGGAAAAATCTGACTAGCATACCCCACCCAAAGGCTGTCCGTATTCTGTCCCTGGGTCTGGAGAGGGGTAGGGCAGAGAGAAGTTGCAAAAGCCAAATCAAATACCTAGGTCGGCTTGGTTCTGGGGCAAGCAAATAGCTCTTCAGTTTGGTGACTACTGAACACCCTACTGACTGTACTCCCTGTGGGCCACCGACCCCATCCTTTGCTATGTCAAGGTCCTCACTGGAAACAGATTTCAGCCCACACATCTCTGGATCCTCTCCATCATCCCCCAGCAGATCTCATCACTGATTCGGGGGCTCTCTCAAAAGGGCCAAAGACCTTTAGCCTCTGAAACTCACTTCTTTTTCTTTTCCTACTTTCACACAGGAGTCTAGAAAGTTCTTTGTTATCACCTTCCTGGGATCCATCCTGTGGATAGCCATGTTCTCATACCTTATGGTGTGGTGGGCTCACCAGGTGAGTAAAAAGCAGGAACTAAATCCTGTATCAGCAAGTTCAAAGGCTTTTTTCCTTCAGGGTAAATTTCCAGTACTTGGGGAATGGTGAGGATCAAGTGCAGATGTAGTTTCTACATTGTTGGTAAATGCAGCCTTTTTATTCCAGTGAATGTAGTACTTTTCAAGTGTGGCTTTCCTTACATTCACATGCAGCATGACATAGAAGGCCCTTCACAATCTGCTCATCACCCTGTTCCCTTTCTGTCATGCATCTCCCACTCTTCCCCACCTGGTGAATTGTACATACTCGTGAGAGCAACCACAGTTTTGCCCTGTCTCTGGCATTTTAATCTTCTGAGTGCCCATGGCTTTTCTGTTCTACCTGGAATATTGCACTAGCACAGAGCTGTAATCGTTGTTTATAATCTTTTTTCCTTCTCTAGGCTGAGAGTAGGGTCAGTGTTGTACTGCTCACACTTTTCTCTCCAGCTCTTAGTTCCTGGCACATAGCAGGTGTCCATGGTTCTGGAAATAGAAATGTGACATGAACAGATCTTTGGAGGGGCAGTTCTTTTAGAAGTAGAGGCACTGTTGTTTGAATGTCAGTGACAGGTGGTATTAGAGATGGACTTTTAGTCCATCTTAGATAAGAGCAGGGTCATACCCTGAAGCCTTGGGCAGGGGCCCCATCTCCCCAGCTGTCAGTTCCGCCATGACCCTGCCTTGCTCAGGCCATGGGAGTGTGCTGAGCTCCATGGGAGGTGTTGGGTTTGCACAAAGTAGTATGTGGAAGAGCCTCAGATTTTCCACTTGCTGTTGCCATGGTTTCTTATTGCTGTTACTGTTTATCAGGTTGGTGAAACAATAGGGATTTCTGAAGAGATTATGGGTTTGACGATCCTGGCAGCAGGCACATCAATTCCTGACCTGATCACCAGTGTGATTGTTGCTCGGAAAGGCCTGGGAGACATGGCCGTGTCAAGCTCTGTGGGCAGTAACATATTTGATATCACCGTGGGGTGAGTGTCAAAGTTGCTTTTTATGGAATATTAAGTAAGACTGGAAAACCTTGTGTTGGCTCTGTTCATTGGTTTTCTGCTTCATTCATTAAACATGAAATAAAAGGGCATTTAAAGTATTAGTTTCTATAAGGCAACAAAGTATTCTCCCTTCATTAATCACAGACAGATGAGATAATAGAACTAAAATGCTGCCTGAAATGTAACTGACTGGAATTTATAGATAAGTTGAAAAATGAAGTCCATTAAATTCCATTACTAAATACAATCAAATGCTCTGCTCACTGACCTGCAAGGTGGTGGAGGTGGGGTTGGGACAATGACTCAGTCTCACTTCCTGATGTTCTTGTTCCTTTGCTTTTGGGTTCCTGCCAGCTCTAAAAGCATTTTGTATAAACAAGCAAATGCTGCATCCTGCTGCACTCATTCCCTCACCTGGCCTATTTTCATTTCCCTAGTCATGTCCTGGACTTGAGTGGTGGCTTTGGTTTCATTACTTTGAATTTGTGTGTATGGGTGGGTCCGGGAAAGGGCATAGGAGAGCCCTATCCCTAAGTAATTTAAAGGAATGCTATCCTGAGCTGGGCCTTATCATAAAAATTTAGAGATTAGAGTCACACATCAACAGATCTGGTTAGTCATACAAAAGTCATTTGGTATGAAGAAAAAATAGCCAGACCTAGAAAACTTCAGTTTCAATCCAGGCTCTCCCAGTTATTAGCTGTGAGCCCAAGGGCATGTAATTGAACTTTCCTGAACCTTGGTATCCTCTTCTGTGAAAGGGGGCTAATATTTCCTGCTCTGTTTCATAGATCGTGTGTGTGTAAAAATGAGTGCTTTGTAAATTGTAAAATACAGTTTAAGTATATGTGATGATTAGAAACATGAAAAATACTCATTGTTCCTCCATCTCGCAGCCTGCCTGTTCCCTGGTTGCTCTTCTCTCTTATCAATGGACTACAGCCTGTTCCAGTCAGCAGCAATGGCTTGTTCTGTGCCATCGTCCTGCTCTTTCTCATGCTCCTGTTTGTGATCTCTTCAATTGCATCGTGCAAATGGAGAATGAACAAGATCCTGGGCTTCACAATGTTCCTCCTTTATTTTATATTCCTGATAATCAGTGTGATGTTAGAAGATCGAATCATATCCTGTCCTGTATCTATCTGAGTCCGTCACTGTTGCTCAAAGTGGACATGGATCAGAAAACCATGGCAGAAGTTACTGTACCTCTTGGTACACTGATGAATGAACATGATCCAGGAGAGTGAACTGAGAGGCTGAGAGCATCTGATGTCAATGTGATACAGGAGTGAAGATTATCGTTGGGAACACCTGCAGCTCATTGTGATTAAAAATCTCCCTTCTGGGGTCGGGGAGTGTATGGAGTTCCAACCCTTACTGCTACAGACACTGTCACATGGACTCCAGTAAAAGGACCCCTGGAGTCAGAGGGTGTTCTACATGAGATACCTGGAGGGTTGGGGCAGGCACCGTAAGACAAGCCACCAAGCTCATGTATTCCTGATTATTAAAGGGCTGCTGATCCAGAAGATGCAGATGTGGGCTCTATCTGACCCTCCTGGCTCCTGCCCCAAGCACATGCTGCACTTCACTGTCTCCTCTGTTTCTGTTCCAAACATGAGGTTCTACCAGGTTTGCAATCATCACTGGTTCAGTTACTGGTGAGTTTAAGAGCTAAGGCTATAGGAAAAAATGAAATATAACAGGAATCAATTATCATTAGTAAGATGTGTACCAATATTTTATAGCTTAAAAGGATTACATTAGCTCTTATTGCATTTCTGAAAAGTGAAATTAAAATAAGTAACCTAAGAAATTAAAATTTGTAATTTGCCCTTGAATTGGAAGGCCTGGATATGAGAGAAGGAAAACTACTCTAAGGGCTATTTAAAAATATGTACTTATTAGAAAATCCAAGTTAGTGTTGTCTCCATCAAGTGGTCTCCTTGAGGGATTAGACATATAACACAGTGGTTGGTCCTAGCTCTGCCCCTCCAGCATATTCTCACCCAACAGTACAGATGCTCCTAGTGAGTGAGAAGGTGGAGTTCAGTCAGTAGAGCCAAGTCTGGATTATAAAGTAAGAGACCCAGTGGGGCAAGGCCACTTTTGCATGTTAACCCAGATGGGATTATAAAGCAAGAAGATGGATGTCTTGTGTGGCTTACAAGTGGGGATTAAGGCAATCACAAAGGAGAAATCCCAAAAATGCGTAGCACAATGGCAACACAGTGAGAACAAAAGTATTTCTACTTCCAAGATAGCTAGTATAAAGGACACTTGTTTTAAAAAGTGTGTGGTTATTTAAACATTTCCTGTGGAATTTGAAGTGCTTGTATATTAAATACCAATGCTTACTGCTTTTACTAGCATCAAGTTAAGGGACACATGAGAAATGAAACAGTTCTATGTCCCTGGTTTGAGAGCAAAGGGAGCTGAGGGGACTGTAGATTATGATAGTAAATAGAGCTTTAGTTACAACATGAGAGAGGATTCATGAAGACTAGAAGATAGCAGGATATGAAAAGAAAAATCAAACATCTTGATGTTGATGGGCTGCGTTCAAATTAAGTACTTCAGTCCATAATCCATCTTTAGTTTGGGTTAATTTAACTAATGGCCTCACTACCCCAGGATTCATGTTCTTTAGAAATGACTTTTATTCAGTTTCAATAAACTGTGAGTCCCATTGGTATTTTACAAACATGGTCAGAATGCTCCAGAGAAGACTGATGAAGAATATGTAGTCATATTCAAATTCCATATTCTGAAGTTATCCTCGTTCCTGATGCTGCTGCAGTGCCCAGTCTCCACATGCCATGACCTAAGAACAGGAAGGAGATCCCAATGCCAACTCTGGGCGCCAACCTGGTTTCTGCGGCCAATTCCAGCTAGCCACAGGGCATTCCTCCCCACTGATGGCCAGGGACCTGGCGCTCTTTCCCAGAATGACTGAGTGGGGAGTGATGGACAGTGAAATGTTCTGTAATGATAAAGCTGCTTCATGATTAAAATCAACTCTAATGATCTAACAACCTTTTCCTAATCAGTGTATTGAATTTTTGGCATCTCTCTTTGCCTAGAAAGGAAGTTCTGGTAACTTTACACTATGACAGAAAGGGTTAAGCATATAAAATGAAAGCTGGGTCTTGATGGGTGAGCAGGAATTCAAGAGGGAAAGGAGAGAAAGATTTCCGGGAGATGAAAAACTTATGTAACTTGTAAAAGATGCTTGGAAGTTAAAATTTTTGTCAAACATTTACAGATCTATAATTTATTAAAATTGTGCTGTTTTAGAGATGAAATGCCATCTTAAAATGTCAAGATAATGTTGAGACGGTCCTTTCATTTGATAGGCAGAATAGATGTGATATGAAAAGATAGCAGGACAGAATACAGAATAATCTGTATTCTAGATCATTCGTTCAGTCTAGAAAGTCCAAACTGTCCCCACAAGGGTTTCTGAATTGGAAGACTGGCTGAACAGATGGTTTCTTCTTCATTCCCTATGAGGTTGCATTTTCTTGATGGACTTGGGCCAAATTTCTAGTAATGTGAAACTCGTTCTAATTTAACGGGTTAAAATTCTATATGGTACCAGAAAAAAAGGCTACATTCCGAACTTACGAAAATTGGTATATGTTTAAATTGTTACTATACACTGCGAACAATATATTGCACTCTCATCTGAAAATGTTTCTATCAAATTATAGGCTTGGCCTTTTATAACACTCTATAGCCAGTGGTTCTCAACCTGTGGGTCGCGAACAATGAAAATACATCCTGCATATCAGATATTTACATTACAATTCATAACAGTAGCAAAATTAGTTATGAAGTAGCAATGAAAATAATTTTATGGTTGGGGGTCACCATAACATGAGGAACTGGATTAAAGGGTCACGGCATTAGGAAGGTTGAGAACCACTGGATACCATAATTATCATTTATTTAAAGACTGAATACCAAAAGCAGCCAGGATTGGAATGTAATATTCTGGGCAAAGCCTACTAGATACAATTGAAGAACTGGTCGGCCTTATGTGTCAGAGAATACCCTTGGTTCTGACCCCTTTTTTGTGGGCAGGTCCTGCTGCAGGTGGGACTGGTCTCTATAAAAGGCACAAAGAGAGCTCATGATCAGGCCGTCTATCCCTGGGGAAGGGGGGTCACTAGAACCAGCAGGACACCCTGGCCTAAGGCTGCCCACACACCCACGGCACTGCTTCTGCTCTTCAGCTCTTCCCTGTGATGAGCAGGTAAAACCTGGAGAATTTCATTTAAAGAAAATTTCAACCTTTGCTCCGGTGGTCTATCACAGTACTGTGTTTGAAAAGAAAATCATTACATACAAAGGAGGGAGCCATCCACATGAACAGCAACTGTGGAGAGGGCCACAGTAACTTTATCCGGTGAGTTTGTTACCATCTCAGAGAATAAGCCCAGGCACACAGATTTTTTTGAATCAGAGTCAGAAATTCCTATGTGAATTTGTACACTGTTGATTTTGTAAACAAGAATAATTAAGCCAGCAAATGTACTGTGAGGCCAGAGGAGGAGGGTAATGTGAAGGTATTAAAAAGAAGATACCAAATACTGAGGATATGAAGGTAAACTGGTATGCAGCTGCTACAGAATTCGATTCTGAAGTAAAACTCAGCCTTGTGTCTGAACAGAAAGGGCAGAGAATACAAACTCAAGCACAAAGGTGGGCC